GGGAAAGGCTGGCAGGAGGATGTGTTAGAACCGCTCGGGGGGATGAGTGCCCTTTGTCCACCTCAGAGAGAGATGCTTTGACACACTGGTGTCCTCAATGAAAGCCTGGACAGACTGGATCCTTTATCAAATGTTGTTTGAGCCAGCTAAACATTCAGGGCCAGTGGGTGGCCGCAGGGGCTGCGAGGAAGAAACAGAATGGGAACGGTAGTATTCAGTAATATGTCAGTGTTGTGTTTTTTAAAAGGGGTTTTTTCATTGAAGAAATCTACTGAAACATGTCAGTCATCATGGGTTCTACATTTGTTCCTATTATACTTGGTCTACTTTGGTGTGTTCTTGGGGCTAAATTTTGCCACCCCTCAGGAGGAAGTGCTAAAATGAAGAATGAAGGGGGGGTTGGCTGCATACATGCAGAGCAGTTACCAGTGATTGGTTAAATGTCCACATCTTCAGACTCCAAGCATTAGCATTACAGCTGACTGCGTGTGAGAGAGGAGCAGCCCCTCCTTCCTCTAAGAAACCGACACAGAGAAAATACAGTGGAAAAATGCAGCAGGATGTCTGCCTCAACCTCGGAGGCTATGCTTGGGGATGGTTAAGGGAAGTATGGGTATACCACTCGTTAGGTTCTGATAGTGGAAATGCAGCAAAAGAGTGAAGCAGATTTAAGGTCTACATCAAGATTCTGTCAGTATGTGCTGTATCTGTCAAAGGCATTATATTGGACTTAGCCACTGTCCTAAAGTTATTTATATTTTTGAATCCAGAACAAATTAGTGAATTAGCTTTTAGAAACCTGACAAATATAAGGGCTATGATACCCACTTTCTGTATGTTCTCCAGTATCATCAGTGTGGATCCTTCTGGACTTAACTAAATTTTACATATTAAATCCATGTTAAGTGCAAATTTTTAAGTTGGTGTGTTTCCACCTACTGCTATTACGTAACTAGTTGGTTCACTGAGATTTGAGTTGTTGGTGTTAACTCTCCAGTCAGATGCCATCGAAGATGGAGTTGGTGCAACAAGATGATCTAATTAAAAGAGCACTGCTCCTCAAGCGTTGTAAAATCTTGTGGAAAAATGTAAGAGAAATGTGGCCTTTCTGCTTGTTTCATGTATTCATTTTGAGGAAAGCAGTCAATGTAATCTAATGTTTATGTGGACTGGAAGCGTCACTGACAGTCTCATGCTTCATGTGTGTCATGAGCAATTTGCAAAGCCTGTATCCACTGTACGTTGTTGTTTTGCTTTTACTGATACACACCTAAGCAAATCTAAAAACAAAGATTCCACTTTGGTTTTGCACACGTTGAAAATCCACTCAAAAGAGCTCGATGGAAATGCAGTGACTGAATTGTGAAAAAGATCCTAATTGGGAGGACTGGGAGAAATCTCGGTGGGTTGGTACTGTAGGTTGAGTACTGCGGCATAACTAATAATATTAAACTTCACTTTGAGATAACAGAGCCGTGTGCTGCGTTTCTGGCTCATTCCCAGTGTTCACCCTCACAGACTCAATGAGGAATCAGGCCTGTCCTGCAGTAAACCTGGCCGGTGCTTGGAGGCTCTCTCCTGGCACTGCCAGACTTTGAGCTGGTTGCACATTCCCCAACTTTCCCAGTGTCCCAGTTCCACATGAACAATTTTTAAAAGTTATTTTAAGCCACATCAACACAAGAAAGCACAGGGCAAAGTAACAGTACAGTGTTCACATTACAAATTAATATATAATTTTTAGGTAATGTTTTTTTTAAAAGTCTGGCTACACTTGTAAGTTTTATGGCGTGAACCTGTATGGTTGATCTGTTGAACTTTATACTATATGTTTTGGTCTATGCTTTGTAACATTTTGGGACCATGTTGGAAATAAGTGTTTTTCACTTTAACATGTTATCCCTTGGATTCTTCTACAAAATGTTCATCTTTAAATAAAACATACCATAATCCACCAGGAATATGTGCTCTGCTGATTGGCTAATACAATACCTGGTGGATAATGCTGCATTGCTTTGCAACAAAAGGTTGAACCTGGTTCAACTTAAATGCTGGACAACCCTACATTGCTTTGCATCAGCCCATTGCGTTGGTACCCTCACTGCACCGACAGCTTGTCTCCATTAAACCGGTGAGAGGGTGGCATTCTTTGATGCAAGGCTACTGTTGGTCTGAATGCTGCCTTTGTCTCTCTGTATTAGCCAGCCTCAGTCATTATTTAAGAGCAACTTCAACTGAAGTGACTGGCCATAATGTCACTTGATTTCAAGGACCACCACAGTCTTACAGTCCCTGGTCGGAGTCCTTTCATACTGTTGTTAAATAGACTGTATTAAACCAGTTTTGCTTCATCGCTATGAAGGATTTTTTTTAATACTAATTTAACAAGCCATGGCACAAACCTTCTTTCACGTTCTCAGCAGCACTGAATATACAAAGCTTTGTTTTGTACAGAGGCATAAAAAAAAAGATCGTGAATAATCACATAAGCAGGTATGAACACCCTTCATGAATAAGTCTGAGCATGTGGCCCTGGGAATTTTTATTATGCGATTTTTGTTTCATCTTGTCATCAGCATAACCTAGAAATTTAGAGGATTAAGATGAGCAGCTGATATAATTTGGTTTCTCACATGGAAGATACACAAATGGAAAGGTGGCAAAACAAAAACAGGCCTGAATTAGCTTTTTTTTTTGGTTACATGAACGTCTGTTTTGGGCAGCGAGTATTCTTTCCTGTTTCCAGTGCGGTGAGCAGCTCAGTGATTTCTTGTGTAAAATGGACATTTGTTCTTTGTGGCCTGTTATTTCCATCACTGTAATGCTGGTTTAATATGAGTTTCATTCTCATAAAAAGTGACACTGACTTAATCATGCAGACTTTTGTTTGGTGCACTGGCAGATGTCACCGTATGCTTGCTGCATAATATCTAGACATCAGTGTGTGCTTTCTGTGTATGTTCTCCACAGGCTAAGTATGAAAACATTAATAATTTCATATTTGATTAACCAGTTCTTTTTTTTTTTTACAATTGTCTTTTCATTTCATAACATTGAACAGTTTCAAACACTGAGCCAAACATGCTATAATTTAGTCTGACCTTTTTTATGCACACATCTACAGCGTGTCACATTATTAACTGTGAACAGGAGGTTTAAAATTGAGTTTGAGGGTCTGAAATAGTTGTTCTGGGTTTTGGCTGTCTGATGTGAAAGTAAACTGTCTCACTTTGCCTCTTGCAGGTGTCTGTCATATAATTTCAGATAGGAAGTCTCATGAACATTTTGCACATTGAGTTCATTAAACCAGTGCAACCAATCAAATATTCATTGAAACAAATGTAAGAAAATGTACAGACATACTGGTTAGAGCTCAGCTATCAGTGCTGTAGAGGTGTTATAGGCAGGGAAATGAAGACGCATAACTATAATGTGAATTATGAATGCCGCTTCTCTGCTACTCTGAAAATAGTTTATCTCCTCTTTCTGCCGGCTGCTTGCTGCCAGCTTAGCATTAAACTTTTATATCTGTTTTGAACTGTTTGGGAGTGCTCTTTTTTTTTCCTGCCAACCTCTGCACTGCATCCCCACTAGATTTATTAGAAATGTGACATACCTTTAAGCAAACCTATTTGCTGACAAACTTTCTCTAAGTATCTTCTCTTCGCTTATTATTTTAAGGGCTCTTGTTTTCACACCTGTCTGTGCTTGGTCTTCACTGCAGGCTGCCTTTGGGCACCATCAAAGTGGATTAATGCGGTTATTGGTGTTGGTTAATGGTCAGGATGTGAGGGCTGGACTCAGAGAAAACACTCTGGTTGCTGTTAACAATGCTATCAAACCTGAGGCCAGGATAGAGTTGCTTTACAGGGCCGTATTGTGCCAGAGCAGCAGATGAAATCCTAGGGAGGAGAGGGGACACTCATTGGCATTCCTCCTGCGTTGCCTCACTCCCCGTTTCTTCCCAGTGGCCAGCACCCAGCGTCTGAGCAGTCCTATAGTGCAGGCTGCTGTCTGCTGATAATAAACAGGCCAACAACCGGGCCCGAGCCACAGAGGTCTGCAGAGTTAGTGCATGCCCTGCTTTGTCTATCCTTTACTTTATGTTCAGTATCACCACATTTTAAAACCTCTGCTGTTACTGCTTTGCTCCTAGGTCTGAGTGTCACTGGGCGTGTAGGAAAGAGGGTTAGGAGGGGCTAGGTGGTTGGCATTTAGCCCAGTGCCAATAAAGGATTAAACTCCAAAAGACAGCTGTTAAATGGTGTGCCTTTTTCAGCCTCTTATCAAATCTCTTTCAGTCCACTGGGAAGGAGTCTCTGACCTGTTCCCTGTATTGTAGGTCCCCCACCAGCGTGAGGAGATCACTGCTGCCACTGTTAGTGCACATCCAAGCCTCCCCCGCCCTTCCTCCCCTTCCGCGAGCGCAGGGCAGCCACAGAAGCATTGGTTCGGTTCCAGCGAGGCTCTGGTCCTGCAGCCACGTCAATCACGTCTTCACCGCTGGGTAACTATCAAGTGTGCAAACGGTCTTCTCCTGCCTTTGAAATTATCAGGGATGAGAAACACAGACATATGAGATTATGTGGCTTGGCTTTTGGAATTTTTTTTTCTGTGCTTTTTGTTTCTTCTGATGTCACTCGTGTGCATTTTTATGTAAAAGAGGCATTTTCTCCAGCCAAGCATGCCATACACTCTCTCTCTCTCTCACACACACACACACACAGAGGTGCCAGAGGACTCAGGAGGGATCTTGAGGGGTTTCATCAGAGCTGATGTGTCTTTGTCTTTGTAAGTCCATTGGCTTTGTTCGACTCTGGCGCCAGGTGTCATCCACTGAACTGTGTCGAAGTCAGTCACTGCATTTCAAATTATGCTTCCAGTGAGGTGAAGAAAAGGAGGATAAATCAGCGATGTGTGAAATCTTAACTCTTAATGCTCTACAGAGCACTTTAGCTTAGTTCAGCTATTTGTTTTGGTTTTAAAGCTCACAACTCTACTGCCTTGGTTCTCCCCCTCATCATTTATTTGCTAAATTTGCTCCCATTGCAACTTTTTTGACTTTATAAAATACATTTCCAATACTTCCACTCAGATGCTTTATGAACTAATTGATGGAGGCTTACTATAACTCATTTAATACCTTTCTTTCACTCTTTTTTCTGTTCAGTTTTTTCTCTTTTTATCCTAGTTTCTCTACTTGCTTGTCTGTATTTGCATTCCATCTCTTCAAAGCTCTTAAATGACCTAAATGAAATTATGTCCATGTAGGTTAATTCAGTTTCCTGCCTACACATGAATTAAGATTCACATGATCACCAAGACAGATGTAAACCATGACATCCTGTTGTTTTCCTCCATGCTCTCCCCTCCAGCTTCGCTGTGACATATTTCATCACTGTGTCCGCCCACACTCGGCCGTCATTCCGGTCCCGTCGTTTGAGGCTTCTCCGAGTTAAATAAATGGGTCCTGGGTTTCCACTGAGTTGTCATTTAGGTGTGTTTGACCCTCTGGAGCCAATTCAATCACTGTCTACCCACAAGTAATATCCTCCGCCTACCCTTATCTCTAACTCCACATTACTGAGCTTCAGCCCCAGTCTTCAAATCAGAGTACAACAGAGGGGAGGGAGGGAACAAGGAGGGAGCTTAGAGAAAGTCATAAAAGATAGCTGTTGGACAGAAAAAAGGAAGGAGCTTCTGTGTAGATATACAGCGAGTCTGCAGCAATTCTAAGGTTGTAAGCCCAGCTCAGTGGCCGAGGTTGGCAGGAAAATTAGCACTGTGCAGTGCTCACTCACTTATCCAACTGGTGGGGCATGAGGGAGTACTGTATTTCCTCACCTCAGTTACTGCACATAACAGATCTGGTTTTGGAGTTACAGCTTATTAAAATATTATCTCGCTCCATGACATTTGGGTTTACTAGACTTTGCCACTGAGGAAAATATTCCTCTCTCCTCTTCCTTCTTTCTTATCTGCAGGCTGACGGATTATAGTCTGAGCTGATGATTGACAGTCTACAAGTGTAGTTCATGGTTTTTATTATTTTGCTACAAAAGAATGGAGTGACTGCACCGTAAGCCTGCACCCTGACGTGTTCATCTGTTCAACTGCTGAAATTAGCCTCTTCTCATGTGTCGCAGAACGTCCCCAGCCAACTGTACGACAATAAGCTAATGTGGCAGCACCCACTGTATTTCCATGCTAATCAACAACAAAGTAGCATGAACAGCAGTCATCAGCTTGTTTCCCTGGGGTTTTTCCCCTCCAGAGCTCCCAGCTCATAATTCTTCTGTCTATGCTGTATAACCTCTGCTGCATAATTTTCTGCTTTATATCATAATCCATGTGTTAATAATGCATATGATTACTTGGTACATTTGAAAGTGGCTAAATATATCAACATCACATTAGTGCTTTAGGTTTTTAAACATCTCGTGTGAACTCCGCCCTACAGAGCTCAGTCTCACCATCATTCACTGTTCCTGTGGCTCTTCATTAATTTGTGTTCAAGGTAGCTAGGCCAGCTTGCCTACCCCGAATGTCCCTAAGGCTGTCCCACTGTCAAAGATCCAACACATCATGTTCCACATCACGTTTTCTTTCTGATTCCACTTCTCTACTTCCTTGATACAGTTTGATCTTCTTATTTTGTCTTTCACCTGAATCCTCTGCTTCCCTCCTCTATTGTCTTGTCGTCATGTGCAGTGATGAACCGGAGGCTGCCATGCATGTGTGTTTGTCCTCCACACTATTTCCAGGCCGCGCTCCTGGTGCCGAGGGAGCAGGCCTGAGGATGAGCAAATGTGGCACTCTCCTATCATCTTCTCCCTCTTCTCACCAGTCTCCCATTTCCTGTCACATCTCCCGCTCCTTCTCTTTAGCCCTTTCTTTCCCATTTCACTTAGCATGTATCTCTCCTTCACTCTCTTTGCCTGTCGCCTCTGAGAATGATGGGTAATGCTTGGGGAATGGAGGTAGTGAAGGAACAGAGATATAGCTTCTTGACAGAATCAGCTTTTATATTTGTTCTTCTGATGTGTGTGTGTGTGTGTCTGTGGTTGTGTGTTTTATTGAAGTGTAGTTGGGGAAAATTGGTGGTAGTTTGTCTTTACACCAGTGTGGGAATATGTGGGAGATTAGTGTGTTAGTGATGCTTGTTGTGTCTCACTGCTCTCACTTGAGGAAACAAGAATTTAATGTGTGTACTATGGCTGAGTTGCATGTGTCAGCGGTACGTGAGGAGGGTTTTTGCATATGTGTTCCCTTTGGTGGCCCTGGAGTGCGAAACTGGAGAATGCACAGTAACGTTACAAAAAAACCCAGTATTTCAGAAAGCAACAACATTTTAGAAAACACAAAACTTGGTAAACTCCCAAAGAAAAGTTGTTGTGCCTATATTATTTTTGTTTGTTGTGTTTTCTGTTTGGGCTTTTCTAAAAATGTTTTTTTTTTCTTTTTGCTGTTGCTGTGTTTTCTGAATTATCATTGTTTTATTTAATGTAGTGTTTTGTGAAATTTTGCTGTGTTTAGAACCTCGGAATCACTGGAATCCTCACTCCATGTATATGTGTGTCCAGTCTGATGTACCCTCATGCGGGGTAGTTGGCATGCACTTGTGTAAAATGAAATCCATATCAGCAGGCAGCTATTCAGATAAGATTAACAGCACCTGAAATTTTCTTGGTTCGGAGACAGATGCTTGCCTCAGAACATTTCCCCTTTCCTCCGTCCTCCATCCAAATTACATTTAATCTCAGTCTAAGGATGTTTCCCCTCACTTAACCCTGCCTGCCCACAGCAAGACCTGTTCTTGCCATTAATTTGATTTCTGATATTGTTATTACAGGGCAGTGTGATTAGGAGAGCATGAGCTAGATTAAAGGCCTGTTTAATGCCACATTGAAGCCAATTAGCTCACTTTCACCGCGTAGACAAATGGCCATAAGTGCTGATATTACAGTATGTATGCTGGCTGTCTTGATGTTACAGAAGATTGTCTCAGTAAAAGCAAAGGGAAATGAATTTTTTCTTATAAGTACAATGTTGACAAAAAAAAATCATTAAGTTTATTAATGATGGATGTTCTTGAGAAACCCATGCTGCTTTAATTACCTCCTGAATTAGTTTTATGACTTGAACCTTTTTTGAACTAACAGCTGTGATTTGACTTGAAAAAATGTTTTCTGTTATTTCACATAAGAACCATGATGCATTGTTGAAAGTATGCACATGTAATAAATCAGTGTTCTTTTTTGCATAGTGAAAAAGAGATTTAGATAAAAGTGTACAATATGGGCTTGTGGGTTAGTGAATAACGCTTAAATAGATGTCGACATCATTTATATATAAGGATGTCACCAAAGGCCACACTGAGGAAATGTGATTATCATTTATGCATAAGTACCATTACTGTGCGTGCTGAGAAAGGTGATAACAGTGTTTTAAAGCAGCTGAAACAAGTACAGTTGTTTCATCTCTTCTGAGAGGGTGGCTTTAAAGCAAACTACCTCGCATTAATGGTACTGTGTGACTGGAAGTCATGGTGGAAAGTAACTAACTACATTTGTTCAACTACTGGATTTAATTACAGATTTGAGGTATTTGCATTTTATTTGAGTACTTTCATTATATGGTGGGCTGTATTTCATCTCCTCTACATTTCAGAACAAATGTTTTTTTCTTTACCCCATTATGTTTATCTACAGCTATAAATAATAGTTAGTTACATGGCAGATTAAGGTTTGAATTTTAAAAATTACAATTCTCTGTGTTGTAGATAAATATGATTCATAAACCTGTGTCTTCCAGAAAGTGCTGTTACCAGAGAGACAGAAGAGTACTCAATGTAAAATGGAAGTGAAACACATCAAACGGCTAATCCAAATCCTGAACAGGAGATATTGTGGCTGGTGGAGGAAACTGTTTCACTCATCAGCACCTACAGTTTGTTATTTCACAGACGCGACAGGTCGTTAATTTGCTTCATGTCCATTTGTTTGTCTTTCACATTGTAGTTTACTTTTTGTTTGACTAAAAATGTAAAACATTTTGTCATAGTTCTTCTTATCAAATGTTACTTTTTATTTAAGTTTCATCCTAAGAATAGGTCATAAGAAAATAGTTTTTGTTAACAAAATCAACACTGGTGTCTGACTCGATGAATTGTACATCGTTCTTCTCATTTACCCATGTAGGGGACGGGGAAACGTCACACATCGTGCCCTGCCTTTCATGCAGGCAAGATCATTATCATGCTTTCTGTGTGAAATAGTGTGGAGGTGATTGAACTGTAGCTGGGTGGAGTGTGTATGTGATGCTGTTACTCTGTGTTATGAGCCATTAGTGGGGCTATGAAACCGAAAAAAAATTCTACTTTTATAACAAAGCCACATACGGTGAGTGTGAACTTGTGTACACTAGGTGTCAGGTTATGTGATTGTGTTGATATGCATGGTTGTGTATGTTTGTGTACACACTGTGCTGCGTTATTTAGCATTCGGT